TGGCGCGCTTTGGACTGTCCGCGGCGGGGAGGAGCCCGGCGACCGTTGGGCCGGGGGCGGCCTGGTGCCGCCCGGGCCCGGCTGAGCGCGCTGCCAGCGCGCGGGCCTTCCCGGCCTTCCCCGCTTTCTCCTCTCGCTGTCCCTAGTTCTGGCTTTTGTGTGAGGGAGAACGAGAGCACTTTACCTAACCTTTCTGTGCTGTTACTTGCGTCCTATTGTATTTGTCTCATTTTTAGGGTAAACTGCCCTAGTTTTCACTCTTTTCTTCCCTAACAGTTTTTCCAGGTCTACCATTACTCTCTTTTCTCATCTCTGAATTTCTTCCGGTGTATGGTTATTCTGTATATGTTGACATTAAACATAACGTGCATGCAGTGTGCCTATTCCCTTGCCTTGATGAGAGCTCTCAAGTTTCGTGGTCTTTTCTGGTCCTGACGAGTTAAATACTTGTCATTTGCACACTTGATTGTGTTGGTATTCCTTATCCATGTGTGGAAGTTAAGAACTTTCCAGAAACTTTGAAAGCATGAAGCAAAACATTTTTTTTCTCTTCGGAAAAAATGGCGTGGGGGAGAAGTTATGGGAGGAAGAGGGGACATCTTTTTACCTAATTATACGCTTCTAAAAGGTGGCAAGAAGGAATATGCACACAGGGACGAGTGTGCATTGTAGCTCAGTTTCTAACAGTAGGCTTGCCTATTTGTTTAATATTTCTATGAGATGAACAAGTTATTTTCACTGTTTTTGACCTACAACAGATAAACAAAAAAACTTTCAGGTAGGAAGTACGAGTAGAGACCTAATATAACACAGAAATGGGAAAATCTCATAACTGCAAGCTGTGAGGAAAATCATCTAAACAAATGTGATGCTTGAACATACATACTTTATAAAGTAATTAACATAGTGTTAAGGGCAACAAGTTGATTTGGCTTGCTCCACAGAGGCCTATAGTATGTTTTCATACTGTTTTCCTTTTAAGTGCCACTTTGGCCCTTCTGCCTTCCCACCTTAGTTGTTGTTGTCATTTATATTTCTCTTTATAGACTTAACTAGGATCATGTTTCTAAATTTATGTGTTTCAGTTTGACCCAACATTTTAAAACTTTGTTTAAAATCATTGCTATTAACATTTTGAAGGTCAGCAATAAGAAAATAATTGTAATGGTTACTTTAAACTTTTTGATTTTTCTGACTATGTATTCAGAGATATTTATCTCACATAGTGTTATTGTTTTAGTTTGATTTTCTTACTGAGCGAGGGGGAGGGGGGTGACCCCTTCCCCCCCCCCCCCCAAAAAAAAAAAAAAGGTTTCCAAAGCAAGTCATTATGTTTTGCTTGTTCGTCTCATCTGGGCCCTCTCAGCTGTGCTGCAGGTCCTTCCTTCTAGAACCATACTACCTGACTGACATAGCACTCCCTCTAGCTTTTTGCTAGGATGAAAATTATCTATTTGGACTTTTTTTGTTATTTATTTGTTTGTCTCCTTGCCAGTTTTTGGCCTGAAACAAAAGTTTACACCCTATCTCAAGACTGCATTGCTCCTTTATTAGCCTCTGTGGGGGACTTCGCTGCAGGCATTTCAGAATACCTAATAAATTATGTGCGCTAGTCATTGCAAGACTCTTAAGAAGATAATGATTGTTTCTTTGCAAAAACTTCTCATTAGACCTTATCGGATCATGGCAACCCAGATTTTTTAGTGTTCTGTTTTTAATTATTGATGCAGCAAATTTGCCAAGAAAGCTTATTAGAAGTATCGCTACCTTTCAGTTCTCTAGAATACTTCCTGCGTTCAGTGAGACATGATTATTTTTTGTAAGCTGCTCTGCTGCAGCATACTTGAACTTCGGAATTAAATTATTCATTTTTTCAGTATATCTTTCTCTGACACCCCTTTTTTTGTTCTGAGGAAGAGCAAACAGTTGACTTAGGAATGTCTGCATCATCAAGATGGCAAAGTCATCGTTTATTTCTTCGTTAGATCTTTATCTTCTTTAATGTCTGCTTTTTAATCTCAAGCTATCTGGTAGGTTTAGTGATAAGTTTAAATATTTCTAAAGGCTTCCTGAATCTCTTACTTAGGAGATTCCTATTGGTTGTTTTACCTTAAACATTTTTCCTTTTAAGTGCCACTTTGGCCCTTCTCCCTTCCCACCTTTGTTGCTATTGTCATTTATATTTCTCTTTATAGACTTAACTAGGATCATGTTTCCAAATTTGTGTTTCAATTTGATCCAACAGCCCCTTAACCTTTTTGATTTTACCTGTGATGATTTTCTCCTGACCTTCCTGGTGCCCTCTTCATTCAATAGCGTGCATATCATTCAGGTTCTTCTGGTTTTTGTTTTTTTTTTTTTTTCTTACTAACCTAAGTTTATAGTTGAATTGACAATATTTTTAACATTCGTTGAAAAACAGAGCAAAAGTAACTATGCAGAAGACCTTTGCGGGTACATGGAAGAAGAACATGGCTTTGTAGATGTACACTGTTTCCTCATCATTTCTTTAGTAAAGTTATCAGGAAAAAAAAAAGAACAAAAAATTCTCCGCAAGTGCAGATCATCCATAGCGATCTTGAACATTTAAGACTGTGATTACATTTAAAAAAAAAATGTTATCTTGTTTTAAAATTGACTTCAGTAATATGGTTAGCTGATTTTACTGGATGATTGGGTGCTGTCTAGAATTACAGGGGAATTAACTGAAAGCTTCATAAGATTCAAAGGGTTTGTTCTGTTACGTATTTTGACTTCAAGTAGTAGGTATGATTCAATATCCTGTTTATAATTATTGTAAATCTTTGTGACAATGGTTCTATTTGTTTGATGATAGGCTGGAAAATTGCCAGAACAGATGTCAGAATACCAGCATTTACCTCCAGAAATTGTGCAAGAGTCAGTGTGTCACACAGATGCCAAAGAAGAACTCTTAGATGAATGTGAGAGTATTTGGAGGCAGATGGAAGAGGTAATGCAAATCATGAGTAGTAGACTAGGTTTGCTGTAAACTTTTCTCAGTGTTCTTTCATCTTCCTTCCCCTCCTTGCTTCCTCACCACACTTCCTCCACCCCCCAAAATCCCCACACCCGAACAACAACAAAGACAGATAGACAGACCTTCAAAGGCCAGAGGTAGAAGTGCTGACAGGGGCGAAGAATGCCTTCCAATGTCGATCTTTGTTTACAGTGTGCTGATGTTACCATTTAGTTAAATCTTAAGTAGGGAGGGAGCATATACTAAAACTAGGGAAGATATAAACAATTGTTGTTTGTGTTGTGGTAGTACCAGCAAACTGAGACTGAGATCCTCCTCTCTTTAGCCTCATACAAACTGGGAGTCAATTGCTGTCCACAGCTACTTATGGTCTTAAAGGAGAGACGGGGAGGAGAATGGGAGGAGAAAGAGAGGCTCAGAAAGGTGATGCTGTTTGCATATACTCATACAAACCAACAGTTATATCCTCAAAAATAAAATCTGTATCTCTTGATACGTGGTCCAGTGTGCTTATAACACATTAGAGCAAGTCTATCTCAAAAACAGCTAAAATGATGCTCTTTCTATTGCATATAATCCTAACAGTTGCGTTATTAAGAATTTGGCACCATGCATATATTAGTGTTATGTCAGGGGAGTATGACATAGGAATAAATATATCATATATATATAATGATTCCTATATTTTAGGTTATATATATGTATATTACTGTGTTCTGTGATTACAATGTGTCATATAATCGTATTTTATATTACATACACTATGCATGCACATACACACATGCGCGCACAAACACATACATACACAAACGCACAAATATACATACATACGCGAAATAAAAAAATACAGGAATCCTAATATAGTGTTAGAGAACTCTGCATCTAGATTTGTGAAGTACTGTAATAAGTTAGCAACAGAAGTTTTGTTTGCCTTCAGGTTTTTTTAATCTCAGAGGATATAATCTTCCTTTCACATTTTCAGATAAAAGGGAAGTTAAAACGTTTAATTGCTTCAGTTTAACTGAAAATCTTTGAAACTTTTTGTATCATTCCCAAGAGCCCCCAAATGGAGTATTTTTGGAATTTGATAAAAACTGTTAGGATTTTTATTATTTTTTGTGATTGTTACATCATGGGTGCAAGCGTTATGTTTCACCAGACAATTTCAAAGAACTAATAGTTGCTGAATTACCTCCTCAGGTAATTATCAGGTTTATTATGTAATGTTCCAATTATTGTATCAGCATTAGCACTTTTTACTGGAGAAGTCCTATTTCATGTGCTTATTTGTTAGACGTGAACAGTCAGGTTTCCAAATCACTGCGTGGTAATACACTCAGTAGAATGCATCCTGTGTTGTAGTGTGGCAGGACAAATTTCTGTTGACATAAACAGATAAAAAAGAAAATATTTAGCAGATGTCTCCTGCTAAAGCCTTCTGTATCTGTGGTAGCCTGATTTTCAGACTTGAAATACATCCTGTTATAGTCAATGGGATGTGATGTAGTGCACTTTTAAAAATCAGACCACTTCTGAAGCATCCAGTATATTTCCCTGCTAAATGAGTTAAAACAAAAAAACTGGTATTATAATGTGGTTGCTCTGTTTGCAGAGCCAGCATAGTAGTACTGAGCTGTGTTAACTTCATAACAGCTTCCCAGTTCCGTTTCCATGACTCTTGTCCCTTCACAGTTTCTTATGTTCTTCATTTCTTTAATGTCTGTCTTCTTATAAGCCCTTCCCCCATAAGCTGCACTCTTTTCCCCCTCAAATCATAATTCCCCTCTTTCTAGTTGTTGCTTTTCTACTTTTCAATAAGTTCTATTTTTTTTACTGTAGTATGATTTCATTATATGTCTTTGCTGTTCTGAGTTGGGCTCTGAGGGACTGCTTGGAGCCAAATCAACCTCCCCCCATAGTAAACAATTTTTATCGGAATTTTTAACCAGCATGTTTCTCTCCTACAAAAGAAAAGAGAAAGTAAACGTTGTCTTTTGTTCTGTTTGTTTTCTACCAAGTGTCAAAGCAAGCTAACGCTTCTAGGAACAGAAACATTGCCAGAATCAGATGCCAAGGTAAGACAATATATATATTTTTTTAATTCTCCACAAAATCTTTTCTGTAAAGAAATGGTGTGTTTTCAAAAAGAAGTGAATTAAATCATCTTCACTTAGCCTCTTTGCTAGTCGGCTTTACTCTTACTAGCTTTGATGATTTATTCTGAAGTATGTTAGTGTCCAACGAGTGCTGAAAAGTTGCATTTATGTATAGCAAAAAAGTTATTTGCAGTCTAGCCATGCAACCTGATAAATAACTGACATTGGCAGCAAAATGCGGGAGCATCTAACTTCTTTTAATAGCCATTTGGACTATTTCCTAGTCAGTGTATGTGTAATTCTTGAAACTGTATAGGTACCTTTAATTTTACTCTGGAACTTCTTATTTGGAAACTACTATATTATTTTTCCTCATTGGTGGATATCATTAGGAAACTTATGTGCTTCAGTTAGAAATTAATTGAGCACCACTGAGTGCATGAACTTGAACTCCTAGATCCCTCAAATTTTGAGGAACATGCAAAAAGGCAATGTTGACTCACTCTGAAGTTGTGTGTAAATTCTAAGTATGAGCCTTTAAAATATGTGCATCCCATATTTATAGGAATATAAACAATTAAACGTTTAGCTGGTTAGATAAAATTTGTAGGTTTTATAAATCTCCGTCTTATGTGACTTCAGTAAGCATACTCAGACAGTAGATTCAATCTATTTGACTGAATGATTAACAATTACTTTTCTTCAGGGGTGTATCTGTCGAATGCATTCAGATATTTACCCATTAGTTACTAACATTGATCTCTTGCTAGTAATAAACTTTTCTAAACCATTATTTACTCTGAATAAATAAAAAATAAAGATGCATAATTCAAATGTATAAAATACAATCCTTTTCTCTTTTTAGAACTGTGGGTAAAATCCTAGAAGTAGAAATAAATTTTGTATCATTTTAGTTGGGCATAGACTCAGGGTTTTATGTTTCTTTGCAGGTTTAGTAAAGCACATTGTACCTGTGTAATTAATACACTCCTACTGTGGAACTATGCTTTTCTTGAAAGCTGTCACAGCAAGACAATGATTAAATGGAGTTGCAAGGGCAGATTGTACTTCATGGCAGAATACAGGGCAGAAAGGAAAAGGTTGTGTTGGACCCACTGTCAGCACTTTAATGTGATCATATTACAGTCCTAACATACTCGAAAGTATTTTCATTGAAGCCGGCAAGGAATCTGTAGGCTTTTCCATGCTGCAGACCTTGTCACCAGCGTTTATTTCTTAATCACTTTAAGATTATAATCATGTAGTGTGCTCTGTGTGGTTTTACGCGTTAAGTCTGGAGACTGATTCTGGTCTGCAATTTAATGGTATACATTATAAGCAGCATTTTTTCCTGGGAATTATATATAAAGTATAACAGAGATGTCTGATAACTTTTTTGTTGTATGTACCTCTCTGTTAAAAAGAGTGTCCTTGATTTAAGGTTGCTGAATGGCAGTGTTAATTAGTTTGTTTATTTTAAGTCCAGTTACTGGAATATCCAAAATATTTTGTGCATCCCTTTATGATAAAGTTTAAAGAATGGGCTGAGGGTGTTCTCAGGAGTAGTGCTCCAGATTGACACCACCTCATCTAGAAAATAAGAAATGTTTGTCTGGTGCTTTTTTTTTTCTTTTCCCCTCTGCCTAAAACTTTAAAAGATTGTCTTTTGAAGATGCATTTGTATTTTGAGTAGTTAAAAGCCAAACTTTAGTTGTCAATTCTTGGTATTTTTGATTATGAGATCTTGCCTGATGATTCTTAGCACATTTTTCTCTTTAATACTTTTTAGTTGGCAAAAAGCCAAATGCAATCGGCAGTACCTTTTATAGAATGCTTGACCATAAAAACAGTACCTTTTCATTTGTGTACTTCATTTCTTATAAAATTACTGGTTTGTAATATCTATATGCATTATATAATGTATTTGAAAAATATATTATTAGTACAGTCCCCAATTTCAGGAAAAAGAATAGTAATAATGAGTTCTTTTTTCTCTAGAATATGTTAAAATATTAAAATAAGTACTTTTTTTTAAATCAAAGGTTGTTTAGGTTTTTTCTTTAATAACCTTTCCTGGACTGGTGTTTTGTCTTATTGCTCCTGTATTTTCAGTGATTACAATGAGTGAGAGTAGTAGCTCCTAAGCATGTTTTGTGGAATCCACATATGTAGTTTTGATAGATATCACCTTTAGTTCCTGGTTATTTGGAAGATAAACTTTTATCCAGTCATCACGGACATCAACAGTAGTCCATTTGACCTGCAGTATGTATATCAGCCATACATCTAGGAAGGAATATGTGAAGTATTGTCATCGCTTCTAGTGACTCATATTCAGTTGTAATTGTCTGATACTGTAGAGGAAATGAAGAAAAGAATTCCAACTGTGAATACTTCTGATTTACCTATTTTGAAAAAAAGAATAAGTTTCCTGATCACTGTAAGTGGCTTTTTGAGTTCTTTGAGGGATTAAGTGGTCTATTGGAATAGGTGTTCTTTTGGTTTTTGCTATATAAAGCTAATAAATTAATTTTTATCCCGTTCTATCTCATTTTACTTCAATGCAACCCAGCACACTTCAAGAAATTTTTTTTTTCTTGTTATACAGCTTTCCTTGTTAATGATGCGAGTGAAAGCTTTAACAGCAGAGTATAATCAATGGCAAAAAAGAAGTCCTGAAAGTAAGTTTCCTGGTTCTTTTTTTGTTGTTGTTTTTAATATATGTTATGGCTTAAAAGTTTATGAGCATACCTTACATTTACAAAGTGTCTTCCACCTAGGCATCTTAGACTGAACGTGTATTTAATATGTTTGTCACTTATATTATCATGCAATGACTACTTAAAAACAAAACGAAATACCTCCCATAGTGGCAGATATGTTTCCTTTCTGGTTGTTATGCTATGTTCTTTCAGCACCTCAATCCTTTTCAAAGTGACTTGTCCTCTGACTTAATCCTATGATTCTGGACCAATAAATGCATACTTCCTACCATTCATCAGTCAATTGAAGGGAAAATAAGTGTTAGCACATCTCCGAAAACATTTTATCCTAAATCACAAAAGTGCATTATGCTGGTTACCTTTCTTCAGGTTTGTCCTTTCTGTGATTGTTTCTTCTCCATCTTTTATCTGTACTTTCTTTGTAGCATAGAACTACTTTGGAAAAGAGTTTTGCCTTGATGTTGTCTTTTAAGAACTTCTAATTTTTGCAAGTACTACTAATAAATTTAACAGTCATTTACCCAAACATATTTTTACCCATGCTTTTTTTTTTTTTTTTTTAAATTAGTGCTTTGCAGAAGTGTGTTGTATTATGGTGTACTAGCTGAAACTTTCAAATAAATCTTTAGTGGTAAACCCACTACAGTGTAGTAAAATGTTTAGCTTGGATTTAACAGGGTTCAGAGATTCCAGATCAAAGAAAAAGTCATAAAAGGCAGCTGACTGTAACCACTGAGACAAATGATAACTCTTTTATAGTTGCCAGTCATCATCAGTCAAAACATAAATTCCTCAGTTCTTCAAGATGTCGTGCATACAAAGCATCAGTGCTAACTGATTATGCTCTGTTGCATGACTGATGTGGCCAGGCACACCGGAAACAAAACCATTCAGAATTGAAGTGCAGGTAAAGTAATGTGGTCTTTCGAGTGTTCCATTTGGAGACTCATAAAACAGTTTCCCCTGAACTATAATTAGTATTCTTCTAGCATTCAGTTCTATGTCTACTGTCAAGGGCCCTTTGGCATCTTTCAACCTGGTAAAATTTATTGATGTAACTCTACTATCTGTGTATCTGTACATTGACTCATCAGAACATTTTTGTGCCAGAATCTTGTCCTTTTTAGCATTTCTAAAATGGCAGGAATGTGACACAGACAGCAAAGGGAGATTTCCAATATTTTGTAACTTGGCCAAATAGGAATGCATGTTCAGAGGAACATTAAAGTTACTTCTCCAGCTTCTCTCAAAGTTTATGTATGTGTTGCATATTGTGATCAAATAATAGGAGTTTAAAAAAAAAGTAAATGTTTCTTCTTTCTTAGAAACAAGTACTGCTGCTCTATTGGAACAAATCCATAGTTCAAATGCTTTGCTAACCTGTCTCTGAGAATGGTCAGCCTCAAATGCTTCTTAGAGGTGTGTAGACCAAAAGCATGAAATTAAATGAATTTGGAAATACTGTTTGACTGCTCTTTCTGAATAAGCTGCTGACTTGTGAAGCTGCAGATGAATTGAAAGCGCTTACAATTTTTTATCGGGGTAAAATAACTTCAGATGTTGAGTTTTGTTACTAAAATATGGAATCTTTTTAAACTAAGCTATTTGCTTAAAAATATTCTTGGGGCACATCTATTTTTATTGGCTTGCTGAGTTGCTTGGCTCAAACATTCTAATTTGTTCCCAGGTAATAAGATTTACTATTAGAAATCTTAGTTTTATACAGGATAAATGATCTATGCATATTATGATATGAATAATTTATCATTTTGCAGTCAGAGCTTTCCCTTTATAAGTTCTCTTGTTGGCTACTTTTCTGAGGGAAAGAAAACAAGGTGCCTTTAAGAATTTGTATAGAATTATAGTGGTTGTATGAAAATGGAGAGTCTGCTGCGCTTACATCTTTTGTGACCATCTTGGCTTTCTTCTACCTATTGTTTGCTTTGAAGGAGGAATTACTTAATTGAAAACATAGTCTGAATGAAAATAACTAGGAATAGTAGAAATATTAGTTTCATACAATTTACGGAGAGCATGAATGTCAGGTTCTCTTGCTACTTTGGTTTCTGCGTTTAGTACTGGCCAGTACAATTCTTGTAAATGAGGGTCTGTCAGCATTTCCATTTTAAACCTTATTTTCAGAGGTTATAACTTGGCAGTTCTAAACTTCATTGGGCACAAACTTGGCAAACAGGCTTGAATCTACAATGCAAATTTTATTTATTTTTGCAAAGCTTTTACTTTAGTCTCTCATTCTTTCTCGATTTCTGAAACTATTTATATAGCTTTAGAGCTGCTAAATCAGCTAAATTAAAACTTTTTAACAAGCCTTTGGCTCCTAAAAACAGAATTTAACTTTTACCTTTGCATAATAAAAAAGTGGAAGCAACCATTTTTTTTTAACTTTATAAAACACTTGTGGTCTCTGTTTAACTTCAGTTTTCCTTTGCAGAATACCAATATTCTGCCAAATTCGTCTTATTTTAACAAATAGGAGTTTCTGTATAAAGACGTAGTAGTTGCTCTTGCATTCGTAGCATCTGGTAGTATTTTGCCTAGTAATTGTACTATGTATCTGTATACTATTTTTTGGACATTCATTTGATTTTTGGAACTTTCATTTGCAAGTGTAATGAATCGTAACTGAAAACCTTTAACTGATAGTAGATACAGAAGCCTGTGTACTTTGCAGTAGTAGCTGCCATAAATGTACTGCCTCAGCATCTTATAATCTGCACTGGCTCTTCACTAAATTAAGTCTTGGTGAAGGGATCATCTCTGATCCTGACATTCTAGCCGTTGAAGAGACTGCCTTGACACCTGTAATTCACAGAGCAGGGAACCAAATGAACATAACAGCATTAAGATTCTTTCCTGGGAAGATATGCCTCCTAGCCTAATACTCTCACAGCATTTGATATTACTGAATAGGAATCATATCTAGAGTGAGCTATTTAAAACTGAAGTGCTAGAAAATGATAGGAGAAATTCGTAACTCAAGATAGTGAGAGTTTGTGATCATCACAGGAAAATAAAGGTTTTATGGGAATCGTCAAATATGCCAGTGAATATTTAATGCGAATGCTTGATTTACTCATTATAATATAAATTATAATAACACATTAATAATGGCTCTTTAATTTGAATAAAAGTCTATCAAATAATTTGGTCCTGCCTATATGGGTTATTAATGCCATTAAAGAAATCTTACTCTAATAATAGGACTGACCACTACCTCCTCTAGTGTTTAAACACAAGGTTAATTTAGGAACACTACTCAAATTTAGAGATAGTAATTTTCTAACTGAAAGAGGGTTTTATTCTGACATATAACAACGCATTCTGAGCTCAAGTTTCACCAATTTTCATCTCTGAACATGCTTATTACTGTTAAAACTATTAATTTAAAGTTTCTCCAAGTTTATGGAGACTTAACACTACTATAAAACTACATAATCAAAAACAATACTTTTCTAAATCTATGAAATCAACAGTATTAGAAAATATTTAATGCTTTATGTGAAGGTGAAGTATTTTCTTTTTTGTTAAAGAAAAATCTTTCATCAGTACTTGATTTTGTTAAGATTAGGAGATTTGAAGCCCCAATTTGGATAAAAATATCCCCATGAGTGAAGTATTTTCTTTTTTGTTAAAGAAAAATCTTTCATCAGTACTTGATTTTGTTAAGATTAGGAGATTTGAAGCCCCAATTTGGATAAAAATATCCCCATGAGGTTAAGATTTAAATCAGTTAGAGCAGATTTCATTCTTTAAATAGAAAGATTCAAATGCTTCATTTTTTTCCGAAGGCATGCATTTATGCAGATGCTGACAGCTGGCATGGGTTCCAAAATGGCTGAGAAGTGACTGGAGTCCATTGAAGGCTATTAAGTACAGCAATTCACTTCTTGTTCAGATAGTCCATGAGCTAGGTTCTGCAGAAGCATTTTAGGGACATACCACCACGTGTTCAAATAATACAGTATTTTCCCTGAAGTATTGCTGTTTTCCAGGGCTGGAGAGAGTATATGGGTTTAGCTGGGCCCCTCATCTTGTTACATATAGCTGTTCTTGTGAATAGTAAGGAAGGTGGCATACTTTGTCAGTTCTTTAAATCTAGTGGTTTTACAGTCCTTATCAAGGAGTGGAGAAGCACTGGAGTATTGAAACCTAAGACACTCACTTAATCTTTGTCTTTTAACAAAAAAAAAATCACACACGCACACCAAACCAACTCTCTTCTTGGAACAACATGTACCTCTTTGTAAAATGTAGTGTATTTTTGTTATAAATTAAGTCTTAAATAAGAAGGTCAACAGCATCTTGGGCTGTATTAGGAAGAGCATCGCCAGCAGGTACAAGGAGGTAGAACCCTCCCTTCTACTCAGCACAGGTGAGATACATCTAGAGTGCTGTGTCCAGTTCTCAGCTTCCCAGTACAGGAGGGACATGGACATGCTGGAGTGAGTGCATTGAAGGGCCATGAAGATGATTAAGGGAATCCGTCAAATGAGCAGAGCATGAACAAGTGAGGATTATTTAGCCTGGAAAGCTCAGAGGGGGATCTTATCAAAATGTATACATACCTGATGGGAAGCTGTAAGGAAGATAGAGCCAGACTCTTCTCAGTGATACCCAGTGACAGGAGAAGACATGGCACTACTGGAGAGAGTCCAGCGGAGGGCTACAAAGATGATTAGAGGGCTGGAGCGCCTCTCCTATGAAGAAAGACTGCAAGAGCTGGGCCTGTTCAGCCTGGAGGAGAGAAGACTGAGAGGGGATCTCCTCAATGTGTACGAGTATCTGAAGCGGGGGTGTCGAGAGGATGAGGCCAGCCTCTTCTCCGTGGTGCCCAGCAACAGGACAAGAGGCAACGGGCAGGAACTGGAACACAGGAAGTTCCATCTGGACCTGAGAAAAAACTTCTTCACTGTGAGGGTGACAGAGCATTGGAACGGGTTGCCCAGAGAGGTGGTGGAGTCTCCTTCCCTGGAGATATTCAAAAGCCGTCTGGATGTGATCCTGGGCAACATGCTCTAGAGGACCCTGCTTGAACAGGGAGGTTGGACTAGATGATCTCCAGAGGTCCCTTCCAACCTAAACGATTCTGTGATTCTGTGAAGAGGCAATGCGCACAAATTGGAACACAGAAAATTCCATTTAAACTTGAGAAAACTTTAAGGTGAGGGTGGTCAAACACAAACAAATAGGTTGCTCAGAGAGATTGTAGAGTTTCCATCCTTGGGGACAGTCAAAATCCAACTGGACATGGTCCTGAGCAACCTACTCTAGGTCGCCTTGCTTTGAGCAGGGTGAGCTGGGCCAGGTGAATTCCAAAGGTCCCTTCCAACCTTAACTTGTCTGTGATTTTGTGAAATCCTGTGAAATACACTGCCATTTATATAACTTTGATTTGAAAATATTTGCAAAATGTTGGCATCTGGACTGTAGAAAAGGTGTCTAAATATTCTGATCAAATAAGTCTTAATAACATTATGAAATGGTGTGATGTGCAATGAAAAATTCCTATACCTCAGCTCAGAGAAAAGTGGTATTAAAATAATACTTACCCTTCTTGGTGTTTTTCAATCATTTGATGAGCCTGTTTTTACAGGGAAATGGAAGGCTGGCTTGATTTCCCCCTGTGATAATGTTGATGGAATCCCTTCCATTGAAAAAATCAGGCTTGCGTATCTTGTTAAATACAAAGTACGACTGCACTTTATATTTCAGTACTACATACTTGAGCTAGTTGAGGTATAAAAAATAACCCTGAAGCTTTAACACAGTACTTTGGATCTAATTTGTTTTACTGGAGAGTGACAGTGGAGCAGCCTAGTAGAACACCATGAAGTATGCTTAAATTGTTTCAGATAGCCGAGCTATTTTTTTAGAGGCTACCTGAGTTTGTCTCTAACATACTGTTTTTTAGTATAAACAAGTCTGTTATACAATGCAAAAAACCCCAATTAATTTTATTTTTCAGTAATTTCTACCAATCCAGATGTACTGGTAGCATTAGGAAAAGAAGAGGTAAGTCTCTTTTTTTATTAACAATAATAACTTTTTCCAAAAAAAAAAATGTACACAGTTCCTATATTTTCCCATTACTTCTCCTGTGATGGGCTAAGCTATTGTGCATGCTTCTTTAAACATTGTTATTTTTTAATGTTTTTCTTCCCCTGAATTATGTTGTAATTACTAAAATTTCCTAGTTGTAATTAATTATTTTTAAGCACTTTTTTCTATATTTCATACTTGATATAAGATAACGTAACATTATATGTTGCACAGAAGAGTCAGTATTCTCAGCTCCCAGAGTTCTGTGGAAATAGTCTGCAAATATTTTGTTATGGGCTGAACATTGATATGTAACAGGAGCTGAGAATATTCTTGTGGCTATGGTATTGAAATAGTCATACATAGGCCAACAAATGGAGATACATTAGGATCATGAACTATTTAAAAATAGTTTAAAATTGGTTTTCTTGCTAGCAGCTTTCCTCCCTCTGGTGTCATTCATATCAGGGAACCCAACTGTTATTAAAAGCTATTATTAACACAATTGGTTACATACTTCCATCTGAGTGCATTGCCATGGTATGTTTGGTTTGCTGTCCCATTTTGTGACTTAATTTGTTGAGGGTTCCAATTTTTTTCAGATATTGCGTATATAAAACACATTTGTGTCTGTAGAATATTTTTATAATTCTTATTTGTTTGAGCAAAATATAAAGCAGTTCTCACAACTTGCATAAAAGGAGACAAAATATTCCAAAAGACTCCAAATCATAGGAGTATCCCTAACTCGTTAAAGAGACATAACCTATTAGGATGAAAGACACAGCCCAATGAGGTGTACTTGCCCTCTCTAGACAGAATGGACAGCTCTTAGGTGCAGTAGTCTCAGTATTTCTCCCTCTTTACTTTCTGCGTACGTACATACTAGTGACAGTCACTTAATTCATGAGTACAATCAATTTAATTCATGAATGCCATCAATCTTTTCTTGCAGCATCTTTATTTTGGAGTGCCTTTTTTTGTGTGCGGAAGGTGTTTCCTCCTCAGTAGTTCACCAGATTAGATGATTAGGTCACGTGAATGCTCCGCAATCTGTTTCAGCTACAATGAGCTAGGTTGTTTTAAGGAGATGCAGTAAGGCATTAATGAGCAACTGGGGACAGTAACATTTAAATTTTAAATTAGCATTACTCTATAGCAATATTTTCTTAGGAAATTACAGATAATTTTGGCCCTCTCTAAATCTGGCTTCATATATCAGATACAGATATAACATTACACAGAACAAACACTAGAGACATAGATGTACTGTAGGGTCATAGATGAACTGTAAGTTCATTTTTCACTTTTTTATAGTTGCAGAAAGTAAAGAATGATCTTGAAATGGTGCTGTCAACAGTTCAGTCAAAGAACAAAAAACTGAGAGAAGATCTGAAAAGGTAATGCAATAATTTGGATTTATAATTGCTGTACTTTTTTTTTTTTCCAAAGTCTTGTTTTGCTTGTCCAGCAAAACTGTCTATTCTATTTCCTGCTTTTCATGTTTCAAAGAGAACAGCAGTGGCATGAGGAACAGCAGCAGATAGTAGATGCTCTTAATGGAATTGAAGAAGAGATGAAAAATCAAGTGGTACAGTTTTCTGAAAAAAGGTATTTCTATAGAGTTGAGTTTTTCCTATTGAAGAATTTAAGTATTAACAGGAGAAAATGAGTAGTCAAAATCTTAACAATGTACTACTCATTTTGTAAAATAAATAACTCAATAATATGTATTTGAAACAGAAAATATTCCTACAATCTGCTTGTAGTCTGTGATTCAAGCTATTGATCTTAAAACGGTAGAAAAATATGGAATTTTTTTACCTGATAATTTTTTAAGTTATTTTATTGGTTGTGATGTTCTGTTGGTATATTTTCACTATTACATTGGATACTAGAGCATTTCAAGAACTGAAAAATAAAATGCTGAAACTAAGGGCATATAAAGAAGAACTCTTGAATGCTTTGGGTGAGTTCCTAGAAGAGCATTTTCCCCTTCCAGAAGAAGATGGAAGCGCTAAAAAGAAGAAAAAGGTAACATTTGCTTTTAGATATGCATAAGTTTCATATATGTGTGTGTGTGTGTGTGTGTGTAAAAAGTGGAATGATCGGTTTGTATTTAAATAGATGTAATACTTTTTTAAAGCCGCTGGCATAGACACTGCAGTTATATTTTAAATAAATGTAGTTCTTATAGCTGATCCTTTATGTTTAATTGATACTTTTCAAGTTGGTTTGTATTATTTAACACTGTTCCCAGCTGGATATTTTCCTTCCTAATGCACATATCCCTTATCCAATAAGATGCATAGCAATGTATTGTATTTCTTACTGGACTGCAAGTTGTGCCAAATTTAGAAATGGTGAGCAGTTTACTCCAAATTGTTCCACGGTTTTTTTATTGGACTAGTCAAGTGGATTCATATTTTCCTTGGCAAAGCAAATTTTAATTGTCTAACAATGGTTTTGGAACAATAATAAGGACAAGTGTTTATAATTATAGTGTAGTTTAGAATGTTAACCATCAGTTTCCTGTTCAAGCAAAGTGCACCAAAAATTATCTTAAAACTTTAGGGAAAATAGGCAGCCAGGGAGCATTTTGCATAATAAATTCAAAGTCTGCAGTAAAAATAAACCTTTCACCATTATTATTATTTAAAAGAATAATTACAAAAAAGCTGCAGAAAAGGTTGCGTTTGATTTGGCTTTCAGACACACTTAAGAACACAGGACTAAAAGGATGTCTTAAATCCAGTTCCCTGTTATTGCAGACAACCACAAAATATAATTTCTTTAATACTCTGATTGAGCCCCATTTGAAAACTAATTTTTTTGTTACTACTGTTCTGTTGGAGTTCTAGGGCCTCAGCACTCTGTTTAGAAACAGTCTCCTAATTTCCAGCCTATATTTATTCACATCTAACACTGATCCATTTATTCTTATGCCAGTATTGTCCTCAGAATAGTTCTTTCTTCCTTGTGTTTACTCCTCCTGATATGGACAGCAGTCATATCCCCTCTCATTCTTTGTTTTGCTAACTGAACTAGGAAAGCTTTCCTGTTCTCTTCTTGTAAGATAGCTTTTCAGTTCCCTGGATTATCCTAATGCTCTTTTTCTGTATTTGCTTCCATTTGAATTCATCTTTTTTGGAAACTGAAAGAAACTAGTATTATAAACAAAACATTAGTACCTCATGGTCTCATAAGCAGATAATTGCACTCGTTCTTCTGTTTCAACTGATGAACCCTGAACGTAAAACAAAAATACTTGTTTTAAGAGGGAAGTTCATGATCTTGCACATAGAAACATCAAATGCAATCTTAGAAATATGACGTCCATTTTTGAGGTCGTTCCCGTTTCCCTCTGTTGCAGTTCTTCTGAATATCAGTGCCGCCCAGTTTCCTGCTGTTGCTAAGTATGATCACCTCTACCTTTTGTGCTGTTATTAAAACTAAGAAACTAAAACTTCAGGGGCTTCATTAATAGTCTTCTTTGAACCATATGTTTTCAGATTTTTAGCCTGATTTTTACCTTTCTCTAGAAAAATCTGTCTGGGTCATTTTTCCTCCAGGAAACTGTAGGGCTAGTCTGTGGTTATCGATTTTTGTAAATCTATTGCATTTTCTGCATTTTTAAGTAGTTGTCTGTTTGTTTCCATATGTATCATTATTTTCTTAAAAAAATAGTTCCTTTAATGAGATACACCAATTCCTTTGCTACCATATCTCTGATGTCATAGAAAAATGTAGGCTGGAAGTGACCTCTGGAGATCATCCCGGTCTAATCCTGTCATCAAAGTAGGGCCAGCTTCAAAGTTAGACGAAGTTGCTCAGGGTCATATCCAGCAGTGCGTTAAAGATGAGAAGAGGAGAGTTCATGTATGGGCCTCAGACTTCTGAGATACGTGCTGGCTGCGCTGTCCCGCTCCAGCCCTAAGCAAAAGCAACTCTTTTTTTTTTTTTTTCCCCTCTGCCTCAGTTATAGTGACTGACTGTTAGAACTTCTTTCTTATTAGTTACCCTGCCTGTGTCTTTTTCCATGTAATTTAACTTACTAAAATCTAAGGAAAAAATAATTGCTGCAGATCTTGGAGATTAATCTACCCTTACCCTGCTCGCAGTAGCTCACCTTCTACAATTAAATTGATTCACAGAAAATGTAACATTTAGTTTGATACATTTTGTTTGATACTTTAAAATTTAGTAAAACTTAGTTTGATACTTTTCCTTAGTTTTATTTATGCATTTCCTGAACTCTAAAATGTAGTTTTACTTCTCTGATCGGTCTCTCACTTCCCTCTTCTAAAGCTTGTCAATTTACAGCTGCTTCTATATCTTTTGACACAATTTGATCTCACCTGCTTGGCAACAGGTCCCCTGTGAACTGCATTTAAAGGGATGAGTTGATCACTGGGAAGGCAGGAGGGGCAGCCATTTTCAGCCATGTTTGCTTTACCTTAATGTGTTAGTAATACAAGTTGCCTGCAGTAGCAATGAGATTCGCTACTACGTTGATTCAGAAGAACCCGTTATTCACCCCCCTTATCAGCTAGGGGGTCTTTGGTTCAGCATAACTCTATATGTTAGTAATCTCTGTTTCACCTTCAGGGAAGCTTCTTGTGCCCTGAATGGGAGCGTGCTTCCAGGGTGGGTGCCCCAGTCCCACGCCAGTGCAAACTCCGCTAAGCCTGGCTCTTCTGGTTCCACCCCTCCTTTCAGCTGTCGCTAGTGTCTGGGATTGGGAGTTGGAGGGAAGGCTGAATCACAGCAGCCCGGATTAGCTTCTGCTGCCATGACAGCCTACACCTTTGGTATAGGCAGTGACTGATATTAGAGTTATACTGCATTTTCAATCTTAGACAAAAAAGACATAGTTTTTGAGATAAGAACTGTGGAAAGTCAAACGGTAAGGAATATTCTGTATGTAAATCAAACGGTCCTGTGGAAGGGGAGAAAAGGTGCCTTTCAGGTAAAATAAACAAATAATACTGACCAGCCTGCTTAAAATTGACTTTATTAGTTAAATTGAAGATACCTGTTAGATTTATGGCACTTAAAATATGTAAGTAATATAATTCTATAAAGCACTATATACTATGAAACCGAGCAAGAAAAGTCTGTGGGGCTCCCAGGTCTGTGGGAGTGCAAACTTCTCTACACTAATATCCTTGGGATTTTAGTCTTTGTGTATTAGCTTTAGTAACTACTAAAGGTCACTAATTTTTTTAAAGGTCATCTAATTTTACCTTTGAGGCACAAATATTGAACCTATTACCTAGGTTATGAGGTAGTATTTTTGACCTGGGAAATACAATAGCCAAGGTTACGAAGTATCTCCATAACTGCTCCATGGAAGATTTTACAGCTTCTTAGTGTTGCCTCTGCTTCCTCTGCCTACTACCAAGGTAAAGGCACCAAGATGCACGTTATTGAGTTGGGGCTCAGTCGTGATTTGTGCAAGGAAATCTCCTTGGAGCAAGCAGTGTGTCCCCCTTGTAGCTGTCTGAAGTTGAGAGTTTTAAAAAATTCTGTGATGGAAAGGAGGAGTCAGACTTTGCCTTTCATGACTTCTTATTTACTGCCTTGCTTCCTTGTCTGTTCCAGAATCAGAGTTTATGTAAGGTGCTGCCCATCTGTTAATGTCTTAGGACTTGGGTCAAAACATTCGACAGCAGTACTGAGTAAACAGCCACCAGTGCTGCATTATGTCCTTTATTTTGTTGAGTGTGAAGTGGATGAGGGAAACTGATAAAACTGAAAAATTAAAAAATCAAGTTTACCATGCAACAGCACTGTTTTGTTGGCATTTGTTGCTTAAGGAATTCATATCAGTTTATAGGGGAATAACTTCATTTGCTTACTGCAAATGGAAACAAGTAATTGTCTAACGGATCACTGTAAATGATCAAGGAAACTTTTTTTTTTTTTGAACTCTCTATTTCTTAAACTTGATCGAGTTTTTTTTAAAAAAAAAGTCAACAGTAACAGCAAACAAGTACTCATCTGTAACTCATGAGAAAATATTCAGGCACTATGAACTGAATTCTTAAGCTATGCCAGATTTGCAGCTCTTTGCAAAAATTTCTCTAAAGTTTGAGGGAAAACATTATTATTTTCCTAACAAATAATGTTCACAGAATGTTTTCTACTCTACTGTGTTTGTATATATGATGTACTTGTTTTTATTTAAATGTAGATTCATGTAGATGTACTGTAATCAATTAAGAAGATTAATCTTAACAAAAATATTGTTGAATTTAAAGTTTGTGATATTGAGCTGATGGATGAATGATATAAATTATAACTTGTATTTGTACCATGACTAAATATGTAAGTAAAATTCATCGATTGTGTACTATGCAATCAAAGAATTGTGTGATTGTTTTTCTTTGTCAATTAAGATTCTTCCTGACTCTTTTAGTTTCTAACTTGGCTGCGGGATTGTCTTTGCAGAACTCTTCTGAAGAGCCAACTGTACAACTTATAACACTGCATGAAATTTTAGAGGTAAGCTTTTTCTGTTTGTTTGTGGTTTTTTAGAGAGGGAGATTTGGGGGATTTTGTAATACTCAGATCTACTCACAATATATTAATAAGGTAAGGGTATATGATATACAGTTAACATAGTTAAATGAAACTTTTTTTTTTTTTAAAAAGAACCTTGGCAGTAGTTTAGTTAACTAACCTTCAGCTTGAGTTAGAGAGTGATTATATGTTATTTCATAAATAGTCTTTAAACCCTGAATTTTACAGTGGTTATTAGCCAAAAAAAAAAAAAAAGTTTTATGAGCCTTAGTGGCTTGTATTAGGGGAGACAAATGCTGTGGTTTAACAAAGAGAAAAAGCCAGTGACAACAGATATGTTCCATTTCAGGCTATGTTTTGTGTTATTTCAGTACAAGTATTTCTGAAATGTAATATAATAATGGTTTTAGGAGGCCCAATTAATGTGCAATCTCTACAATTAACAGGATTATTTTATTTCATATGGGGGAAATAAATTTGATTAATGTATCTCTAAAGGATTTTATAAGGATGCCAAGATGGATTAGTGGGTATTTTAATTGAATTACGAGTTATGATTTTGAATTGCACAGCATAATTCCAAGGAAGCTGTAAGGAAAAAAAAAATCTTTTAACTAGCATTGGTTTCCTTCTTGTCTGAAATGTAGTATTTGAAATTAAATAAAATTTCCCCTTCCTTCTCCATCCTCATCCTTCAGATATTTATAAGGATCTATGTGTAAGACCTCCCTGAAAAACACTTTTTTTTTTTTTCTGAGAGGAAACTTGATGAAAAACAACATTCTGGTGTTGAGATGCTAAGATCCGGTCACTATGACATTGTTGTGCTTTAGTTTAAAGTTCAGACGATGAATCTGTACTTACATCATCAAATTCATTTTATATGCCTCAAGTGTCTCAGCATGCCTATTAATGCCAAATTAGGCAGAGCTTGAAAACAAATCAGAATTTAAAATAGCCCTGTTCCCTATGGAAATAAAATTTTAAAGCTCTCTTAATACTTTAGAAGTGCCCTTCATATTTTTCTGATAATATTAATCACGTCCAAAATACAAACATATCCAAATAATGTCTGATTTCCAGTTGGAAGAACAAACTAGTCCCAGTAATTCAGACTTATTTTTAAATTTTAACTATCTTGGCCTAAACTATGAATGTCCCTTATCTTTGTTTTATGTTTTTTTTGTTTGTTTTGTTTTTTGTTGAGCAACTTGGTTCTAGTTTCAAGTGCCTGTTAAATTTCAAAACTGTTTTCTTAGATACAGATAATAGTTTCTAAAGAGACAAATGCAATGTCGTCTTTGTATTACAGTTACAGATTTAGGATTTGCTGCTGATTTTTTATTCATATCGAGAATTACAGCCAGTGGTTATGTTTCTAGCCATGTTTCCTTAATCCTCATTTGTTTGCTTTTAAATAAGAAAGGTGTACATTTTAATACACCTTGGACCAGCTGGTTGTATACATTTATATTATTTAGAGATATTGATACCTTCTGCATTAAATTCATGTAAGATACTAAAACAAGCAATAAATTCATTTTTCATGCAAACCTCAGAATTTTTATTATACTACCTTTAAATGCAGTAATTCTTTTCCTTTTTATTAGTTTGGGGGTTATTCCTATCAGACTGAGAATTTAGAGAAATAATTTAAGATTCAAAACAATGTATACAATAGAAAAGTATTGAAATAAGTGCTAGTTGTAAAGGTTATTTTGGAATACCAGATGTCAAAAAAGAATGAGCAACAAGTGATCTAAAATAATGTATTGGAGGAAATATTCAGAATTGGGGCAATTGAGTATAAAAGAAATAAGCTGGAACAATTCTTTGGAATGTTCTGAAGAGCAGCAGCAGGGTAGCATTTTTCTGAACACAGAAATGGGTGAAAAAATGGTAAGTTTGGTAATGAGGATTTTGATGTGTTTTTCTTTAGCAGTAGGAAGGCAGGCAGACTATTTTGTACCACGCTAAAATTTGGAGAGCTAGAACATTTAGAAACTTTGAGTAGAAAGATTTAATATCCAAGACGAGTAGAGAGAGCACCAGCGATGGGTAAGATTTAATCATCCGTAGGTGTCTGCAGTATTTCTCATGAGCAATATTATGAGGGCATAAACATGGTCTCTAAGAACAGGAAAACAATGTCAAAACAGATATTTGCTTTTAATTCCATTAACTGTATTTACTTGAGGAAGGAAGGAGAGGTAAGTAGGTAGTAAGAGGAGAGAAAATTGTTGTAGAGTGCTCGTCATGCCAAAAACAAGAAGTGATGTACACTTTCCCACTTATAAGGCTAGCAAAAAGATTTAATGTGAAGAAGTAGTGACCTTGTAAACTATGACAGTGATGTTTAACTTCTCGTAGGTGTAAAATTATTTATTTTTAACATTAGCTGTAGTAGGACAAAAACGCAGAAAAAGTAATTCTTTCCGATCCAAGAAGATAGAGGGTTATCATCTTATTAGTGAGAAGACTGTTAAAATCATAAGATAGATATTCTTCTCTGATAAAAATCTGAAAGAGTAAGGGAGAAAGATTATTTGCTGGCAGTAAGTCGTTATGGGTCTGAAGCAAGTGATTTCCAAAAATTTAGCTTTCCCTCTTTTTTAATACTTGTAACCCTATATTAACAGATACTAAACATTAATTAAGTAAGGATTTACTGCCTTCATATTCAGATTATTTGAGTATTTACACGGTTATGCTATCTAAAGTCCATTTAGAACTTTTGATAGATGTTGAAAAACTTGATCTGAATAAAAGGAGAATTATAGTTTTAATTTTTACATCAGAAAATATATAGGGGAGTTAACTGAAAGTTTTTCATTTTACATCTACCTTGAACAGGTCTTGTGTTTCTCCTGTAATTTTGTATTTCTTAGGTAGGCCATCTAAACCACACGTATTACAATCCTATCTACAAATTTAATTAAAGGAGATCAAAATCAAGTTGTTCTGTTCACATTCTAAATCTCATCCTTTTGATCTTCCAGATTCTTATAAACAAATTAATGAGTACACCACATGAACCCTATTTAACAATCAGTGACTCATTTTGGCCACCTTATATTGAGCTGCTGCTGCGATATGGAATTGCACTGAGACATCCAGAAGATCCAAACAGGATACGCTTAGAAGCCTTTCACCAATAGAGAAACCGTCATTTACTTTAAAACAAAACACCAGTGTTCTTACCAGCGGGGAAGATGTATTTATGATTTCATTGTAAACTTTTTTTCATATCAGCAATCTCTTCCTGTTGGATAGTTTTTTTTTTTTTTTTGGTAACATGCATTTGGTAAGAGTGTAAAGTATGAAAAAAGACGATTTTCAACTTCAACTATTCATAGCTACAATTGTTTTTCAGTTTTATGGCAAGTGATGCCAAGATTTGCATTCTGAAATTTTTTTTTTCAGCTGCTTAAATAAGATGCAAATTCAGGTAACAGACAAAGTAAAGAAGTTTAACAGTCCTTTTGACTTTAAAGATTGTATTTTACATGTGACTTTTTTCTTTTATATACATTTCTTAGATTTCTTTAACTCATCGTGATTTCATTTAGTATTTTGTTGCACTTAGCAAGTCAAAACTTTAGTTAACCCAGCTGCCCCAAAGGAGGCCTTGGAGAGATTTAGAACTACCAGTGAAGTAGCATCTTCAACAAGATATTGTTTTCCAGAGGCTTTGCAAACATGTATTGGTTTCAAGATAAACATTTAGAAGAGTTGGCGCATCTTTCTGTGCGATGGACTGAAGATATTCAGCCTGCAGATCTACAACTGTATGTTTCCTGGACAGACCCTTTTTGTGTTATGTTATATTGCCTAATAGCATCTGCCTTCACTTTTCGTATCTGATTTATCAAGGCTTATAATACATCTTTGTGTTCTGTAGATCTCTGTAGTTTGTAAAGTAGGTCAACTGATAGTTACCTTCTGAATGGCATTCTGTTGTCATCCTAATTTGCTTTTGTATAGCCCTCATTATTGTAGTCCCTAGGCGCACAGATAACTTGCCCATTTTTACACAAGTAGTCCCCAATGAACCCTGGATTTGAAGCTGGAAGTTCCACTCCTACAGATCTGCAGCGAGTATAATCTTGGGAAATAAAATATGCTTTTGATTAACCAGATTTCAGTGTAACGATAATTTAGTTTATTCGGTTTTCAGGTAGGGGTATAAACATTAATGATTTTTCAGTTCATATTAAAATAAAGGGTAATACAGGTAAAGAAAATAAATGGGCAATAACTGAAGGGAAATTAGGCTTGTTGTTAAGTTTGTTGCAGTTACATATTGCAGGTAATGAAAATGACTATGAAAGTCTACCTGGATAGGGCTCAGCAGAGTATTTCATGTGAGGGCTTTACCGATGATACAAGGACACTTAGGGAATGAAGGGGGAACAATTCAGTGCAAGTTCTAGCATAATTACCTTTTTTCTTTTTTTTTTCTTTTTTTTTAAGCCCTACTACCTGTTAAGCAAAAAATTCATTGTCTCATATTTTTGAGTGAATGCAGTTACACGTTTATCTGCCAGTTTTGTCACTTAATTATTAAAATAGCTAAGTGTTTTTTTTTTTTTTTAACCTTAGCTTTCCAGCATTGTCTCTTTGGGTTTTTTTGTCTTCATCAGTTTTTAAATACTCTGCATTCTACTATCTTTTTATCTTACTACTAATATTGTAATGCTCAAATATTTCATTGACCCTGGATGTCTGCGTCAGTGGTGAGGGTGGTAAGTAGGAGAAGAGAAAATGTTAAAAACAAAGTTGTTTCTCTGTTTTTAAAAAAACTCTCATATATATGTGTGCATTTTATATATGGAGAGAGAGAGAGAGACAATATAAACAGCGTATAACCGAGCGCTCTAGAGAAGGTGAATAGGAAACGTTCATTATTTTTCATAACACAAAAACTATCTCATCCAAGTAAACTGTCAGGATGGTTTTAAAAGAAAGCACTTCTTCATATAAAGCTTTAATTTAAATTGTAGAACTCACTGCAGTAGGATGCTGTGTAGGTGTTAAATATAAATCTTCCCAAAAAGTACACTTACAGAAGTTAGGGTCATGAGTGACTGTTACATAAAATGAACAACATGCAGTTCCAGAAATCCCTGTCCTGCTAATTGCTGGACCTTAAAGGTCTATTGCAAAGTATAGCTCTACACCTGACCTGGTTTTTATATGTTGTCCCTCCATGGCTGTGCCAGACTCCTTGAAGACCCTCATATGGCTACACACTGTCTTGCTGCATTCCAGAAAGGCTGTCTGCTTAGGCTTAGGGCATGCTCAGAACCCAGTACTTCCATGTCAAGTTGTTTCCTTAGGCTCCTTAGGCTCTTTCTACTGCAAAAGAAAAGCTCTCCATAATCTATTTCTTCTTATTGCTGAAAATGCAAGCTCCCAGCAGAATCCTGGCAAATGAAGTGAAGAATTTCAAGGCGGTAATGAAGAACTGATCTTCTTTATGAGGGAAACCTGGAACGTTAGTCAGTAGGATCAACCATCAGGAAAGCTGAGGAGTGGATCTAAAGACACAGTAGGATAACTTGTGTGGTTTTTCCCCCCTTACTTCTTGATTGTCCAATTGACAGTTGTTTAACTGGAATTAACACTTCTGTAAATGCTAATACCGGACTCTGTGATTCACTGTCTGTGAAAGAAGGGTTTGTTTTTCTTAATGTCAATTTCCAACTCCCCAAAGCTGGCTTGGGGAAAAAAAAAAAAAAAACAAGACAAAAGTTGATGACCATTCAGAGCTACCAGCCTGAGTAAGATGTGACTGTGACCTTTTAGTGGATAGTGTGATTGTGAATAGTTCAGATATTTGTTTTGTTAGGTTCAGTTAGCTGGAGCCTTCTGTCACTTCACAATAATTATTTTTGTACGTGGTCTCAGTCAAGGGCTAACAGTGAGCAACCTGCATTTACCTTCTTTATACAATTCTATCAAATGCATTTGTTAGTGTAGAAATTAATACACCATTAAGAAACACTTCCTATTGAAAAAGCCACAAGTGATCAGAGGAGAGGTGAGCTTTTCACCCATGGTGTCAAAGCTAAGGCAATAGAACAGCTTAACAAGTGCTTGCTTCCGTATATATTGTCAAGTTTCCAAAATGAACAAGTGTTCCCCATTTCAACTGGGTGGGCCATGCAGAGAGCCCTGTATTGGAAGAGGAAGATGTGTCTTTTCGTAGCTATCAATAAGAAGTCTTTAACTGAGCTTTCTATACATTTGTCTAATCACTATTTTGAATCCTCATATTTTTTTTTAATATCTAGAATATCCTGTGGCAGTTTCACAGTGTAACTACCTTCTATGTGAAGTAGAATATCATTGTGTTTGCCAGACATGATACTGACCAGTCCCAGATACTATCAATAGACATTTTCTATTAGGACTTACTTTTATATAGATGAATTATACTAAGCAACTTGTAGTATAGATGTCCACACAATAGATCCTCCTTTAGGATGCATTTAATACACCTTTTCTCTGGCCTTCTACTGTTGGTAATGAAGACTGCGTACCATATTCCTCCGTGTTCAGTGTTTCCCAGGTTTGTTTTCTTATTTCCTGTTACTTAGGATAAATTGCTGTGGTGCTATGAAACATCAGTAAAAAGGACAGACCTGTAAAGTGGGTTTAAATCTAGCATTGAGTATTACATCTCTCATTTAAGTATTCTGTCCTGCTTTTTGGAAATTTTTTGTTTTGCGTATTGTTTACTGTATGTTCTGCCGTACATACTTTTTGTGCCTTATGTATGTAATTTCATAACCTTTTGAATAGCTTTTTTTAAAAAAAAAAAAAAAAAAAAAAGGCTGTATATGCCCCTCACACTTTAGTGCAAGGGTAAGGTCAGGATGGCATTGAAACTCTCCTTTTTATTGCTCAGGGCAAAAAACCACAATCTGGATCAGTATCTGACCTGTTCACTGTTTCATTAATTTAAAATCCTGTTTTTGGAAATGCACTATTTTTAAAGGAATATTTTTCACTGGATATTTTAGGTACTTCCTCCCCCAAATAAGTTACAGATTTCTCAGTCGTAGACTCAGGTATTACCTCCTCTTCAGCTATTGTTAGTGACAGGAATTAGTCTGCCATAAATGTTTCATATCTTTAATTAACACAGCAAGTATATTTGTGTCCTAAGAGAAGACACACCTCTCAAAAACGCTGCAGCCGTTGTTCTTGTTCTCTTTCCTTCCACACCTGAAATATCCAGTCACAGCTAAGCTACTCTTATCACTTTCCTTCAGCCAGAATTGAGGAAACTTGAATAGTTACCCTTACAACGAAGTCAGACATCTGTAATTCCAGTGGAAAGCAATATAAAAGGCAATGTGACTTGATACCAGTGTGTCTATAATAAGTTATTCTTTGGAGCCTGTGATTTTGACGCTAATATCATTAGCATCAACTCTGACAAAGCAATCACACCTTCTGTGTCGCATGAGTGCTGTATTTGTAAAGCAGTAAAAATATATCCAGCTTAAAGAAAATTCAAACAAAGCCAATTCATTAAAACATTTGTGGAACAACAACAAAAGGCAGCAATAAGAACAACAACAAAAAAAGCCCTTACTGTTGAGATCAAGAATACTAGCGTGTATGAACAAGCCCTTGCCTGGTCCTGAAGTACAGTCCTTGGAAACAGTTTGTGGATCTTACTGTGTCAGATACAGCAGTAATATCACACACACAAAATAAAAATCTAGAAAGCATCCTATAGTGAGGTCCAACACATGAACAGCAGCGCATCAACCACCTGTGGATTGCTGTAACTGTGCCATAAGCCCTGTAGTTTCACTTTTTCCTAAGTCCTACCTGAAAAATTGTGATACGTCTTGGGGGGAGGGGGAGGAGGCATTTCCAACTACCTGCAGGTGATGTTCATCTGGATAGGATAGATGTTCATCTAGGTGTTCCCTGGAGACAAGGATGACGCTCTCACCTCCCCATCTCGTTTGGAAATCTTCTTCCCCAGATTCATGTGTTGTCTTACAGACTGTCAATAACTTACAGATCTCTCAAAGTGTTTTGGAGAACTCAGAGCATTTGAAAATAGATAATTGAAAACAGAGAATAGAAAATTGATAGAGAAATTGAGAACGTAGAAATTCAGGCAACAGTGATCCAAGAGAATGTACCCAGGTTATTCAGGCCTTTATTCTTAGCTCTTTGGTGTTCACAAGGGTCATCCATGTAATGAAATAGTCTAGTATGCTGCTTGATGTGTGGCCAACAGTTCAGTCTTCTATTTGGATGCGTCTGGGATACCAAGTGAAGACAGTGTCTGTCTGTCCTTAAAATAATTGATTGTCTTGTCTGTACGATTTCATGAGATGAGCATGAATCCCATTAAAACTGTCCCAGAGCTGACTTTTGGAAACCCAGTTTCCAGTGGACATGGTCAGAGATCACAGCTGACACTTGAAGAGTGGACCTTGCCAGCAGTGGCAATCATACCTCATTTTATGCTCATATGGCAATTTTTGTACCCCAGTTGTAAATAACTCTTTTCAATGAGCTTTTTATAAAAAGAGGTGGTTGCTTTGATTTACTTTGGAGTTGTAGGAGAGGTCATACAGAAATGTCAGCAGAAATTCTTCTTATTTTCTTATTCTGGAAAAGAAAAGGAAACTTTGTAATATCCTTGATCAAAGGAGACCAAACACTAGATATGTTACCACAGATTCTGCATGGTGATACTTGTTTCTATCTTTTTAGAGTCAAGTTTTTGACTTGGAGGTTGTTTACATCATACTGCTATCTATCTGAGCTATGAGAAGTATACCTGAGATGCACAGTTGAGCCAGTCTATTACTAATACACAGTACTGCCCTAGGACTCTCATGGCCCTGAGATCTTAACTAAAACCTTGTCTGACAATTCATACCTAGACAATCGGCTGATCATATCAGGACGTTCTTGAGTCCAGTCAAGCCTTTTCATAAACCACAACAAATCTGTATTTATTCTATAGTAACAAAGAGTGATCAAGATACCTGCCATAACAGCACTGATGAATGTCATAGGACAGATTTTTTGCCATTGGTTGTTACTAGGTAAGACAGTATTGCACTTGGCTGGGTTTGTGTTATTTGATTA